AACAGGTAGCACCTAGTGATGACGAACCTGGCCAAATTGGACTGTGAGATGTAGGAGCTGCACCATGATAGAGCTTCCTTGGAGGTGCGGAACGCCATCCAGCAAGGACGGTAAGATACTCGTAATAGGCTGATACAGAGAGATCTGGCTGCCGTGAGTGATCCCTTTACTCCTGGTGCCGGGGTCAGTGCTACAGCTCTCAGCATCCTCAGTTAATCTCTTTAGAGTGAGAGCATCCTCATATAGGGGTCTTTGTCGGCTTTTAATTACCATAATTATTTCGGTGGTCTTTGATGATTTCAGGTATAAGTTCGGGCACTAATTAAAATTTATTTGAGAAACCTGTAGAGCTGTTTTTTTTCTGACCTCTTCACTGGATAAAGCATCACTGGTTTAAGTCTACATTTACAAATTTATTCTTGAAGAAAATCGATGAGGAGTCCCAAGTTATCGCTGAATCTGGAAGTGAGAAGGCCATTCCCAGCAACCAGGCTATGGTAAGATCCAGGACCATTGGGGAGTGGTAGCAGTCATGCTCTGTGCTCAGCCAGCTTGAGAAAAATAAATTTGTTTAAGATGAAATTCCAACTTCAACAAATCCCTCTGCAGCTGGATACTGAACTCTATAAGTGATAGGCCACAGTCTCTCCGAATAGGTGACAGATTCACTAACAGTCAGCAGTGGTTCAGTGAAGTGATGTTTTCTCTGTCCCCTGCTATTCACCCTGATGACACGACTGCTCTGCTGCTCACGGTTCCAACCACATCATCAAGTTTACAGATGACAATACAATGATGGGTCTGATCAGCAACAATGATGAAATGCATGTAGGCAAGAGACAGAGAGGCCAGCAGTGTGGTGTGTGGATAATTACCAGGCCCTGAATGTGGAGAAGACCATGGAGGTCATAGTGGACATTAGGAAGTCCAGCACCCTCTCCACTGACCATCAACGCCCCGCTGTGGAAGTAGTGAAAGGCCCCCTGGACCAGCAACATCACCTCCCAGGCCAAGAAGGCACAGCAGCGCCTACACTTCCTCTGCTGACTGAGAAGAGCACGCCTCCCCCCTGTAGTTCTCACAGTTTTCTACAGTTTTCTACAGAGGAACCGCAGACCAGCTGCATCGTCGCCTGGTACGGGAACTTTAGAGCCCCTTGCAACCCTGTCAAATCACCCCCCTTCTATCTGGAAAAAGGTCCACCTGCCTCAGGCTCTGTAGCAGTTTTTCCCCCAGACTTCTCCACGGTCTTTGTCAGCCACTCCTTGTTTAAAAACACAATTTCATTTCACATATGACATTTGCAGCTTGTGTCACTGTAACATATAATACAGTATGTGAAATATTGGGCAGCTCCAGACCCACCATGACTGCCGGCGGTGTGACCTCTTCCTGGCCCTGGCCTTTCTTCCTGCCCCGCTTAGTGGGGTCCTGATGTTGTGCGGCAGGCTGGTCCTGCCGAGGGACCTCCTGCTCGCAGGGTCGGGTGGCCCTGCACAGTTGTTCCTGCACCACGACATGGGTAGCCTTTTTCAGGCTCGCGGCTGACAAGCGAGAACATAAGAAATTTACAAACAAGAGGAGGCCATTCGGCCCATCAAGCTCGTTTGGGGAGAACTTAACTAATAGCTCAGAGTTGTTAAAATCATATCTAGCTCTAATTTAAAGGAACCCATGGTTTTAGCTTCCGCTACACTAGCAGGAAGACTATTCCATACTCTAACTACATGCTGTGTAGTGCTTCCTCAAATTTGTTTTAAAATGTTCTCCCGCTAATTTCCACTTATGGCCACGAGTTCTAGTATTTAGACTAATATTGAAATAGTCATTTGGCTGAACAGCATCCAGACCCGTTAGAATCTTATAGACCTGAATCATATCATATCCCCCCTTAGTCTCCTTTGCTCAAGGCTAAACAGATTCAGTTCCGCTAACCTCTCCTCGTAAGACATTCCTCTAAGACCAGGAATCATTCTCGTAGCTCTTCGTTGCACCTTTTCTAAGGCAGCAATGTCCTTCTTGAGGTATGGTGACCAAACCTGCACACAGTATTCTAGGTGGGGTCTTACCAAGGAATTATATAAGTGTAACATCACCTCCCTTGACTTAAACTCCACACACCTAGAGATATAACCCAACATTCTGTTCGCCTTTTTTATTGCTTCCCCACACTGGCGAGAGTGGGACATGGAAGCATCAACATACATACCAAGATCTTTCTCGTAATCAGCTACCTTTATTTCAGTGGAACCCATAAAATATCTGTACTTTATATTTCTGCTCCCTGCATGGAGTACCTTACATTTATCTGTGTTAAATTTCATCTGCCAAGTATCAGCCCATTCGCTAATTAAATCCAGATCCCATTGAAGCCTCTCTGCTGCTAGATCAGTATCTGCTACCCTGCCCACCTTGGTGTCGTCTGCAAATTTAACCAGTTTACTGTATGTATTTGTGTCAATATCATTAATGTAAAGAGAGCACTTGATGTCCGCAGAAGAGCCAGCCTTCCTCCCTCGATGACTTCGCCATGTCCCACATGAGTCCGGCGGGCTGGCAGGAACGGCTTCAGGACACATTGTGCAGGTCTAGTGCATCCTGGATGGAGCGGAGGGTGCCTTCCTCACTCCACTGTCCCCTGCTCATCCGCCGGCGGCTCTGGTACGGGCTTTCAGGCAGCGGTGTGCCAGGTGCCTTTCTTTCCTATAGCACCATCAGACGAGCTTCGCATCCCTTTCCATCCTCCTTGCATGCTGCTGCTTCTTGGTTGCCTCGAGGTCCGCCAATCTGGAGCAGGCTTGCCAGACGATCTTGTAAAGCTCCCGCTTCGGTGGAATCGCTTCCGGCATCCGATGTCTGACACCCACGTAGCACCGAGCGGACTGAGGCTTCACGAGAGCAGTGAAGGACAAGGAGACTTGCTTGCCAGGAAGAACACGCTCATTTAATAAGTCCTTATAAGGACTATAACAGGCACCCAACTAGCACAGAACTCAAATACAACAGTGGAAACACAAGGTGGTCAGACGCCGAACTGTAAGGTACACACACGGTGGGGGATTTATACAAAGCTATGGACACACGAGGATTGGACAGGGTGCACATAAGACATGGGAAAACATACACTCCACAATCGGGAACACAAGTGTTAACCATAGCTACAACAACAACAGTACAAGAGCTATTTACACACACTTGCAAGGCATGCTGGGATGCGCCAATCCCACAGGCACTACACTGTGTAACTCATGTAATCGTTATAAGGATGGCACTGAGATTTATCCTGCTAATGTAGTTCCTCTTTCAAACCTATGACCCTCCAGGTTAAATGTCCTCTGTTCAAGCCCTTTCCCTGATACATTCATCATGTTTTGTAGTTGTGCTGTATAGGTTAAAACCAGTTTTCCTTTCATGTAATTAGAACTAAACATCCATAATGGTATATAATAACCTGTTACTACAGTACTGTTATCACATCTTGTTGCATTTTATCTCCTGAACTCTACAAATGATTATCTTCTACACATCTATTTGCATCGTGCACAGTACAAGCAGGTCTGCAGTTTGTGGAGAGGCACTTTCTGCTGATTCAGGACTGAAGCTTCGTGGGAAGGATCTCGGGCAACCTTTTGATGTGAAATCGAATCCTCAGTCAGCTCACCGATTCCCAGACCCACTGACGACACCCCAATACCATTCTGTTTTGCCAAATATGGGTTTATCCTACTTGGTTACTCCTAGAAGACCAAGTATTTACTTAGTAACTGCAATATGAAACACCAAATGTAATTTATACACTCTGTGACATTATTACACCTAGACTTTTTGTTGAAACTTGCCTGCATATTTGCTGGTGAGACCTGACTGCTTTTGTAGTGCAGCACAGTAGTGAGCACTGTCATCTCACACCTCTGGGACCAGGGTTCAAGTCTCCACCATGTGTAGAGTTTGCATGTCCTCCCTGTGTTGTTGTGGGGTTTCCTTCAGGTACCCTGGTTTTCCCCCTGCCAAGGTTAATGGTTACCTGTGTGTGCGTGCATGTGCACATGTACCCTGTAACGGGCTGGTACCCCATCCTGGATTATTCCCTGCTTTGTGCCCAGAGGCTCCAGACCCCCATGATCCTGAATAGGATAAGCAGTTACAGAAGATAGATGGATGGGTCCATGGAAAAGGTAGGATCTTTTAATGAAGAAAAGTTCATGATGTTTTTTAAGTTCTATGACATACAACTCAGAGCAACACGGTGGTGCAGTGATTCGCATTTTAGCCTCATAGCTCTGGGACCAGGGTTTGAGTGTTTGCCGTGGCTCCATGGGAGTAGAGTTTGCATGACCTTCTGAGTCATGGGGTTTCCTCTAGGTACTCTGGTTCCCCCCTCACAGTCCAAAAACCTACTGTGGTTTACTGAAGTTATCAAATTACCCATAGGTGTGAATTTGCCCTGTGATGAGTTGGTACCCCATCCTGGGCTATTCCCTGCTTTGTGCACTGTGATGAGTTGGTACCCCATCCTGGGCTGTTCCCTGCTTTGTGCACTGTGATGAGTTGGTACCCCATCCTGGGCTGTTTCCTGCTTTGTGCCCTTTTATGAGTTGGTACCCCATCCTGGGCTGTTCCCTGCTTTGTGCACTGTGATGAGTTGGTACCCCATCCTGGGCTGTTCCCTGCTTTGGCCCTTGTGATGAGTTGGTATCCCTTCCTGGGTTGTTCCCTGCTTTGTGCCTGTAGGCTTTGGACCACTCATGAGCCCAAACAGAACAACCAGTTACAGAAGATGGATGGACATACAGTTCCTAGACAAATTGCTACCATTAGACTTAAGAGCTGACATTTAATACTTTCCCCCTCTCTCTTCTAGCTAAGCAGTTGTGGTTACCTTCAGTATAATTTACATAATCTTTTGCAGGTTGTGTGCGTTTGCATCTGTGCACAGTACTTACTATTATGGTCTGGCATTCAACTACCAACACTGCAGCAATCAAAATGACCAAACCACGTTAGGCAAAAGGAGAAATGTTTATTCGATAGACTGTATTTGGAAATCGTCGACCATTCAAAAGAAGTACACAACATGTCTTGTAGAGCTGGAATATCGATGACCACATGCAGTGGGTTCTCCCTCATACACAAACAGTGACTTACCCCTTTGTCAGGCTGTGCCTTTGCTCCACAACCAAGACCAGTGTGGTCAGTGTTTGGAAAACCACTGGCACAGTTTCACTGCTAGAGCTGGACAGTTGTCACTAGTGACTGACCATACAATGTACTGCAGAAGTCTTCCACGTAGCATCACACTGGAAAGGCTGTTCTCCTGTAATGTTTAGTCTGTAAAAATCTCATTTTGTTGAAAGCAAGTTCTGCTTTTTTCATTCTTAAATATATTGTTGCTCCCATTAGAACAGTACTATTTCTGAGATTTTCCAATGTCCATTAGCTAGACCAGTGTTTCCCAATCTGGCCCTCGGGGACCCACAAGACAAGCAGTCCCTACCAGGGAGCACAAACATGGACTGTCTGGCAGGGAGCTCGGAGGGAGCAAAAACACGAACCGACTGTGTGTCCCTGAGGACCGGATTGGGAAACATTGAGCTAGATGCATAATGCAATTATATATTTCCTATTGATACCGGAAAGATCAAACCTACATATCGCTTTATAGGCGTCCAGTGTTTGTGTCCTTATTTGGCCTTTTATAGGGTAGCTTTTTGCACAGTATCCTTGATGGACTGTGCCTCCAACAATGGCAGTTATCACCCAGTACCAGAAGAAGTGGTCAGCTGTTTTTAATAAGAAATTCAAGCACCTGCTGATCAGTCGTAAGGATCGGGTAGGGAAAGAGAAAAACGAATGCCGATGACTGATAATCCTGATTTGACGGCTGATAATCCTGATTTGACGGCTGATAATGCTGATTTTACGGCTGATAATCCTGATTTGACGGCTGACAATGCTGATTTGACGGCTGATAATCCTGATTTGACGGCTGACAATGCTAATTTGACGGCTGATGATGCTGATTTTACGGCTGATAATCCTGATTTGACGGCTGACAATGCTGATTTGACACCTTGAAATGAAACCTACTCTCTCTGAGGAGTGCATCCTCCTGTATCTGGGTAAGTACACAGTACCAGCTCTGAAATCAGTTTCCCTTTTATCATCCATTTTGACAAATTGTTTTAAAGTGCACTGACACCATCGATGAAATTAATTCTAGAGCGGTTGGCCTACAACCTGGAGCGAATTCCTCACAGCCAAACTCCCAAAATATACACTGTGGGGACACCCCCTTTATAACCGAGCCACGGGACTCAGGAGGTCAGGGCTTATGGGTAAAACGTTCAGATGCATAAAACAGCATAATGAAAGACGAGAGGCAGAGTGCAGTTTTTGTTACAAGTGTGACACAAAGATGATCCTCTGAACCTCAATGGCTGTGTTTAGTTTACCCTAAATGAGCAGATGGGGAGCACCATCAGGCCGGGGTTGGGGGGAGGGGGTGAGTTTCACAGGTGAACAGATGGCTCCCCCCCCCCCCCCCCCTCAGCTCGGCTTCTCTGCATGTTCTGGTCCCAGAGGGTCGTGCGGAAAGAGCACATCAGTACTCCTGTTGTCAGACCAGCTCCTAAACACTCCGGTGATTCTGGCAACAGAGGGAAACCACGTGCAGGTTTTTTTTTGCGGCTGGTGACCACCCGTTTCAAGGCACCAGGTATTTGGAGAGGGCAGCTAAACCCCAAACAAGGTAAAAAGACACGCCTACGTACCCTTTAAGCTATCGGAGTACCGCTTTACCATGACAGCTAAGGTAGTTTCTCCAATACTGTCCTAATTCTCTCCCTGCTCTCATATGTAGCCATTGATTAGCATCAACTCTGAAAATCATTCATTTATATTGGTCCATTGTTAAAATAAATTATTTCTACTTTTTTATATTACCCACTCCCCAATGACCTGCATTTAACACACAGGCTATTACTGTACAACAAAGTGACATTAAGCTGCTTTTTCACCACAAAGCCGGTTTCTCCGCCCGAAATGTGGCATCTTACTGCTCTCAGCAATAAAACCACTAGATCACCGCCAAGGAAATCGAACAAGACGTTTTGAAACACGAAGCAGATTCATACGCACACACGCGGGGAAAAACAAAAACATTAGTACAAACGGTCACTGAAAAAAATCAGCTGAGGCGAGATTCCAGCATAATGTTCAACAGGCGGTTTCCAAGGAAACTTAAGAGTCCTCTCAGAGGGCTATAAAAGGAATCTCTTTTGGTTGGCGATTGAGAGATGATGTCAGAACCTCTTCTCCAATCACTGCACTCCTTCTTCGTCCACATATGTGGAGGGAAACCAGCCGATCTAGGAAAAGAAAAGAAAAAAACAGAGCGACCACTAAAAACCAATATTATATCTGATGAATAATGAGAATAACTAATGTGATTCATCACAAGCAAACATTATTTTCACTGATGCCTATTAGTTTATTAATGAATGAGAGGGTAATTAATTTGTAGATAATAAGCAGATCATTGAAACTAGAGTCAACACAATGTAACTCAAGCGCGGCTGTGTCACTCACCCTGCCGTTCACCTCGCCTTTCCACCAGCCCTGGTCACCCCCGATCTTGCTGTAGATCTTGACAACGTCACCTTCCCTCAGGGACAACTCCCTCATGTCACGGGCGGCGAAGTTGTACCGGGCAACTGCTGTGCTGACCACTCTCGGCGTGAACACTGTGGGCCCAAGTGGGGGACAATGGTTCTTGCACCCTGCTCATTGCATGAAGGTCCGCGGGTCACCGTTTACTGGCTAGTTGGGTCATTTAACCAGATAATGAACCGACATGTCTAGGCAGAGGGCGGCATAAAGAGGGGGATATTTAGGATGATTCCAAGGGCCCCTGACTGAGAGGGGCCCTAAAAATGTTCAAACATAATTGGATTGGTAAGTAAAACTTATTTATAAAGTGCCTTTCACAGACAAAGGTTACAAGGGGCTGAACAATATGCATACACATCTGTATGCAGGTAGAGGGTGTGAGGAGGCATTATTTATACAGAGGGGGCAACCTTATCATTAGCCAATAATATATTTTGAATCAGTGAGTGACAGGGGAGGGGCACTCCATGGGCCAATCAGCTTTCAGCTGGAGCCAGTACCCCCGTGGTTCTGTCTCTATTGGTGCGTTCGATTATTTCTCGGAACTCGGAAAATCCGAGGTGAGTGACATCACGTCCGAATAAAACGACAAAATACACTAACAAGTCCGGTAAAAATCTGATATTGCATGCTAGGATACTGTTTACGGTCATGATATGGTATTCTCTAAATCGAACACATGCAATTACATTTATAACTATTAATGCATTTAACTATTTTAAATATTTATAAAATAGAATTACTGTTGACTGTGTAAGCTGCCATGTTGACATGACGTCACAGGGGAAACAACAACAAAACAAACAAAAAAAAAATAGGACAACAAAATTCTGTCCGACATGAACGTCATAAAAGAGGCGTGTTTCCGACGGGAAGTGACATTTTTCGTGACGTTTTGTGACGTTTTCCTTGGAGAGAAATATTCGAACGCAGATATATACACTGTCTCTATATACACCCCTGCTATCCGCTAAAAGATGTGTGGTGTAGGATGGGTGGAGCACAGAAGAAACAGATGAAGGAGAAATCAAAATAAAGGGCTGGAACCATGAGGGGAAAGACAAGACAGGAAAGGAGACAGAGTACCTGACCAGAAGGGGGCGGCAGAGGAGGAGAAGTTGAGGCCCTGAGGACTGAGGAAAGAGAAGTTGTAGGAAGCACTGGGAGCTGTGTGGGCAGACGAGTGTGGAGAGAGAGAGAGAGAGAGAGAAGAGGGGTGGGTTGGGGGAAAAGACAAACAGCCATTAAACAGCAGTGGCCTAATTTAGAAGCAGCTCACTACTGTGCTTTTAAGGAATGTGTGTTTCCAAAAGACCACTTTGAGGTACCATTTTATATAATGCTTACAATCATGTTGTAATTCCGCTCAGAGAGACATCTCCTTAAATGATCCATGTAAACTGACAGAACACACCTCTAGTCAAGACCCAAGTGAGACTTGACTAGAGGGGAACACCTTTGCAGAAGGATTGGTCCTGCTTTTTCTTTCTCTTTGGAAGACAAGAACAAAACACTCGTTCTGATCTTGTGCACTGTGATATGCGCACCGATTCGTGGTCGTGGGACGTATGTGGTAATTGTTCTGCGACTGACCCCAACTGCTGGAATGGGAACAAAGGCAGCCATGTAGTAGATCTGATGATGGATGATCTGATTTGACCTGCGAAGCTGGCACACTATCTGAGGGTCTGGGTCTTTCGACAGGGGCCAAGAATCACAGCCAGCATTCTCTTGCTGGCGGCAGCGGTTTTGCAGGGGGGGGGGGTAAGTGGGGATCAGCTTCTTTGGATCCTGGGATCTTCAACAGAGAAGCCATCTTATGTGATGACCCACGGCCAAAGGTCGTTTTAGTGCGGATTCTAATCGACCGCTGTCATGAAGTTGCGAGTGGAGGGTTGAGCAGGATGGGGGAGGGGGGGGGCATACCTGGAGAGCGGGCGCTGGCTCGAGATACAGAGCGCTCCCGGGACTTGTAGGGGTACCGTAACGTGGTGTCTAGCAGCTTGAAGCTCTCCTTCAGAGAGTGGGTCTGATAGTACTCCACCAGCTCCTATGAACGGGGGAACAGCAGAGCAGGGACAAGCACGACCCCACCTTCAGTCTGATGGAAAATACATCAGTGACGGACCCCACAGGTTAAAAAAATAATAATAAAAGCAGAATGAGGGTTGTGAATGAGTCATGACTCACCAGGAGACTTTCGAACTTCTTTGCTTCAGTGATGTGGATCCAATTGTCTTTCTCTATGACTTTTATGTGCTTCACCTCGTCATTGAACCTGTGGAAACAGGAATAAGGTCATGGTCACCTTTGCTCAGTGAAAATAAGGTAATGGGGCCAACAATAATAATATAGAGGGCTATACTATAATATGGAATAAGGTAAAATAGAAGAAACATAAAGACCTGATATAGTATGGTATAAGGTATATGTGAAGGGTGAAAAATTTAAGTATACGTAATGGGAATACCGTAAAATACAAGGTGTAAATGAATGGTAATAGTGTAATAAAAGTAATAATTTAAGGTACATATGAATGGGGTACTCAATTATTATTCATCAGACACATAAAGGCAATGGTCTGCGCCAACTTGGGGGGGGAGGACATGGTCCGGATTATATTGTGTTTTGGTCCAGAAGCGGACCTGCTGTTTCCTGTTTCATATATAAAGCTGTGGTATAACACAGAATAAGGTGCATATGAACAGTGATGGTGTGATACAAGGTATACTATAAGGTACATATGAAGGGCTATGCTATACCAGGGTATAGGGCCACAGTGTGCAGCCCACACTGCAGCAGCACGAGGGGCGACACTCACTTAATGCTGATGGCAAACCTCTCCGCTTCGGCTGTCCGCTCGCGGATCAGGTAGGTGCCACTGCTGTGGGACTTCAGCAGGTTGTCGGCCTGCTGTCGCTCCATGTTCCCCGCGAACCTGAGGGGGGGAAATTACCGGGAAAGGTTCCTCATTGGTTCTAACCCACAGCATGCAACAGCCAACTGACTGAAACAGCTGTAATTGTCTAAATTTACTTAATCTATAGGAAAAACATCAGGCTTATCTGTATTAAAGATGATGGGGCTGAGAAGTATTTAAGAAAATCTATTACGACGGTTTGAATTAATCACAGCAGCACTTTGGAGAACGTTATCCGGTTCTGCCGGTGGCGGCCCCTCACCATGGGTAAACGTTGTAATCAGTTTCCCTGGATGACTGCCGGTTGGGAAGAGGCTGGAAAGGCTGGGGGGAGAAGAGGATAACGGTTACAGAAACACAGAGGGGTATTAAAAACAGAGTAGTGTCACACCGTGCCCTTAATCTGCAGTCGTGGGGGGGGGGGAGTCACAGCAGCGTGAATGAGTCACAGCAAGGCAGACATAACTTGTCGTGGTTCTGTGAAGCCAGTCTTTTCTGCACAGAATGAAGCAACCGGTCGGATTACCTTTGGATCAAGACACGGCTTCACAAAGGAGCTGGGAAAAAGGCCGCTCTTCTGATTCTGGATCAGTCTTCCCTGGGAATTAGATGTTTAATTTTAGAAATGCTATTAAAAAGAGTTGAGTGCACTCATTTTTTTTTTTTACAGTAGAAACATGTTATAGCCTTCAGAAAGCATTTATACCGGCAGCCTTGAATGAGCTGTGAAAGACGCAAGTGCGTGTGGGAATTAAGGCGAGCCGGTGACTCTACCTCCCACCATGAGGTATCGGGGTCACCCTTCAGCAGCTCGATGACATCACCCGACTGGAAAGACAGCGGCAACTTTCCTGGAGGGGCGGGAATCCCATGGTAATTCCGAACCGCCACCATCTTTGGACCTTGACACAGAAATGGGAAAGAAGTATGCCTTTTTTATGAAGGTAATTTGTATCCAACAAGAGAAATTGATGTGAAAGTATTCCACAAAATCACAATTTAGCCAAAACTAACAGAAAATTACGCAACACAAGTGCAATAGAAGAGAAGTCCTTGTGATATTTTTACATTTTGAATAGTATTTATTTTGGACTCATTTTGCACGCACCCTTTTCAGGGACTGGGTTTCGGGTCTGGAAGCTGAAGCAAGGCAGGCGGACAGGGGGACATGCAAACGCGCGAGTTGTGGCTACAGTGGTTCCCACTTAGCCAGCGTGCCACTCATGGTTTGATTATTTGAGCAGTTTTCCCATTTTTATTCAAACACTAAATTTCTAATTCAACCACCAGATGGCAGTAAATAACCATATTCACTCTCATATTCGACTCACCGACTGCCATTGACAAAGATGTTTGATAAATATGAGCATCATTGGTAGTGATTATATGGAACACATTAAATTACTAGACAAAAGGTGCTAGAAATATTGAATGATTTTACACAGCGAGCGTCATAGTTATTTACCTGATGCCAGTGGTCCAGGTTCCTGCAAAAGAAAAACTTTCCATTTAAGGTATTATTTTATAAGACCAATTCAGTCAGAGATTTTATGCAACAACTCACAAATTTCATAACTGCTTAGCTTCTATTTCAAAAACATAAACATGATTTTATTACCAAATAGGTATCATAGGCCAACTAGGGAACTGGTTAATGATTAAGGTAGAAGCTCACTCACCGAATCAAGAGGATCTGAAAATAAGAATCAAGAGCAATGGTATTGTTGGTAAGCAAGGTTTGGAAAAACATCAGAAGAGTTTATGACTCAAAGACTGTATTTGGTGCATGACTTACTAATTCTACAGATGGTGATGACCTCCAGACACTCCTTGTGAGCACCAGTCCCGCACCTGGAACAGTAGTACCCTTGGTAGAAGATACCCCTGTGAAACCAGTAGACAAACTGGTCAGCCATGACCGGCACACTGTGGAGGATCCAGGCAAAAGCCTAACATGCAAATAATGATTCACCTTGCGAACCTGATCAAGTTTAATTATTAGTTTGGAACAGTGACTAATACATGGTCCTGGTGAGCAGGTTTTAAGTAGAAATGCATGCCAGTGTAATAACAGGCACCTTAATAGCATCTTGCAGGCTCTGCAGTTGGTGTTCTTCTCAAACGTGTGCATCTGGAAGTTGTGCTGGTTGGCGGTTGCTCGTTCTGGCTTTATGTTGGATCTGTTGAAATAGTGCAGACAGAGGACAAGAGTGACACTCGATAATCCTTTTTCTGATGCAGGATCAGTGTGTGTGTGTGTGTGTTTGTGTGTCTGGTGGGGGGCGGGGGTAGTGGTGTCACCTGGGACACGTTCCTCTCCTTACTCACATAGCCATCTCAAACTGCTCCATCCACTTCCTCTTGGTGTCCTCCGTTTTACAGAAGAACTGGAAGCCTTGTTTCCCCTGCAGGTGGATCAGGTAGAACCCGTAGGACCACTGAAGCATGTGGAGAGAGCAAGTGGTGCAGGGAAGGGGTAGGGACATGAGCACAGGCGATCCATAATGAAGTACAGAAGGCGACAACAGGCTGTTGGTTAAATGACCTCATGAGAAGCCATTGATTTTTGAATAAGTTTTGCATCAGCTTACCATCTTTCCACTTGACTGTTAAGCATGCAGAAGGAAATGGAAAGAGAGACCCAGTTACACATGCATGTTACGATAGAGAATAGCAAGTTGAGGAAAATATGCAGGGGAAAGCGCCTTTCTACATTACCAAAGCTCTTTATTGTGTTAACATCACCGCAGAAAGACTATCATAAAAATCACATCAGACTTATCTGACACTTTCTCATGCATTTTTCAACATGTCAGTACAGCAAGTTTAAGAAATAAAATGAATTTCATAGGAAGCTTGAGGCTGAAATCATTTGCTGGTTGTCAACACCTCACCTTCTTCATGTCTCTGTTGTTCATGGGGTCGTCGGACATTTTGTACGACTGCAGCTCGATGATCTCCTTCAGCTCGTAGCTGTACCCTCTTCGCTTGCAGACGATGACCACTTTATCAAACAGGAAAATATACCTTGAAGAGGAAAGAAGCACTGGTAGTTAGCTTTGTTTTGGGCAAAGTTGAACCTTCATTTTTTGAATATCAAGCTGATTGTGAGATATTTTTGTAGCAAGCAGCATTAAGGAGGATACAATATCCCACCACGGCCCCTGCAAGGGATAACAGCTTCAAACACACATGTTCACAGCCTGTCGACCCACAGGTGATCCATCTACCTGTCCATCTACTGCACAAAACACCCTCAACATATCAAGACCCATCACTGCTTGATGCTTGAGTCTTTCTGCCAACTGGTTGGTATGGAGTTTCACAACAAAGACAACAGCGACCTAGGAACGTGCAGTGGAAACACCAGAAAGTCCCAAGAAAAAATCTTCATATTCTACTCGTAGATGCAGATAAAATTTTTGCTCATGCTTCACATTCTCTTCTTGACCCCCTTTTCATGCCCAAGCGCCTACTGACCTATCTTGCTTGGTTCGATTCACCACGGAGCAGACCTTCAGCTCCCCATCTATCTTCGGTCTTCCATACTCCTCCAGTTTCACTTGCTGTGCAGGCAGAGAGACATGTACTGAGTTCCCTGCAACCGTGGGCAGGAAGCATGAAATCTTGACCCAGAAACTCAGAACCGTACAACACAGTACGTTAAGCCAAAGGACTGTATGAACCAAGACTGGGAGCTGGTATCTCTTTCAAACTAAAACAGTGATGTTCTTCATGCAATTTAATGAAAGCAGAGAGGAGCTTTGGAAAAGTTACCAGCTAATCTCTAAAATGCTGACATGGAACAGAGGACAACAAAAACTAGTGTGAGCAAACTAAAATAGCCTAGTAAGTCTCCTTTAATTGCTGACGCACTGCAAGTAGACAAATTTTGGGCTGGGGAATAATTTTCTGCCAGTAAACTAAAAGGTACTGATAGCTTCCCCCACGCATCTCCCAACCCAAAATGAAGACATCAACAGAAGGTTAATTTGCAAAGAGCTAGGGGTTCCATCTGCATCTGTAAAATGATTTGCATATTTTTATGCCTGCTGTCTTGCTTATAAGCTGTACAGTCAACAGGAACCAGAGAAACAATTTTCAGGGCTGTAGTGTGTTGTGTTTTTGCGCAGGACACCATACTTACTAAATTTTCTATGGAACTCTGAAATTCACTGATCTTCTTCAAAGTCTCATTGTCCCTTTTCACCTCGTTTATGTACATGGCCAGGTCCTGCAAACAGGAAGCATCATAACAATGGCCTGATAAAAAGCCCTTTAAACCAAAGTAACATCTTGCAGTTTATGTTCTTACATCAGCAGCAGGGAATGCACAGTTTGGAATTCGAGACCGACAGCAGAGGGGTCAAAGGGTCAGTGTCCTGACTGCTCATCATTCTGTCGACACAACGGGAGAGCTTAGCTCCAGCTGCTGAGGAGATCAAGCCCAGACTCACCTGCATGGCCTCCAGTGCCTCCTTCAACTGCTGCCTCTCCGGCCTGTCCGCAGAATGACTCAACAGCTCCTGAGGTGGAGGAGACGGGGTGTTTCTTAAGATGACTACTTCACCGTACTTGTGTTCTCACATACCCGTCTTATGTAATTTTCCATTTCTGAAGACCAGTTCCAATGCTCAAGAACAGAAGTACAGAGGACGGTAAAAATCCCTGGATGTCGTTCTTGCCCCGCCCAAGATATCGAGGATACATCGGCTGCATCATTGCCAGAATGAGACCAATCCCATGATTCATTGCGCCCCAAATTCATTCTTGGAAGTTAGCAAGACCAGTCTTGCCAAGACCACAAGTACGATCCTTGCGTTCTTGGTATTAAGAAACATCCAGAGTTTCCTAGTTATGCATAAACATCATCGGCCTTCCACTTTTCAGTGTAACATTTACAACCGATACAAGACATCACATGCCCATGACTGCCTGGCATGCAGGCCTTGTGGATTTGGTCTCCGTGATGAAGGAAATCCTACCGTTAACAGGAAAGCTTCATGTTGGACTCTCCCCCACCACACACACACACACACACACACAGGACATCAAAAAAAAAAACAGGAAACAATAATATGGATGGTGCGATGCCAAGAACTGCCAAAACTGTTTATGAGTGTACTTGAGCTCTCCAAATAAAATGCATTTTAATGAGTTTGATTAGAGGTATCAGAGGTTGTGGTTGTGAGGTCATGTGTAAATTTTCCATAAAAAAACACCTACTAAAGCACTGCATTGTTAGACAAAAGTTCCAGATAAAGGGGTCCTTTTAAAAACACTTTGTTTCGAAAGTGTGTATATTCACAGGAAACATGACGATATGAGATAATGGCAAAGCCATGTGCATTTCCTCTTCTTCCTCTTCCTATGTATGAAAAATGAGCAGGTCTGTGTCCAAGCAGTAATGTGTCCGTGGCTATTGTTTCGTCTGCATGCCCTTGATGAAGATAACATGCCCCGCGCTGCCTAGCCTTTAATGTCTGTGACGCTGGTTAGCCGTTCTGAGTCCCGTGAAGCGTGGAGTTCACTGTACCAGACACATCCGGGCTCCGTGCCGAGATCATCGCTGTGATGGGTCCAATGCCAATCCCCCCTTCCCCAACCCTACCTCACCCCCCCGACAGTCAAATTCCCAGAGCCATGATGCATCCATCCTGGTAGGGGGGAAGGGGCATGCACCAGGACAAACAAAACATAACACACTGAACACAATTAAACAATAGCTGTTTACGGACATTTATTCGGAGCACACTGTCTGGGCCGGATCTCCAGTCGAACGTAACTCTGCCTTCACCACATCCGCTGTGGGCTACCGTCCATAAATCATTGAGGAATTTCATAAATCAGTCATGCTGTCATGTATCATGCTGTGTACAAGCTCGTTTAATGCATGACTGCCGTTAAAGGGATTCCGTGAGTAACCAACCCACGATTGCCTAACGAGGCGAAATGCGCCGTGTGTTTGATCTGCGTTTGGTAAACATGGCTGTGCAGTTTGGGAGGAAAATGCTGCGTGACTGCAAAACGAGAGTGACACAAGTGCGATTAATGTCATACAAAAACACTCTCTGGTGAGCTATACCAATATTGATATTAATAAGTGCTCTGTTTTTGGAATGAGGATTGGATGCCAGAAAGACACACAGATGTTTTACTTGCGCAGGATTTTACTGCAGTGTTCTGCTGTGTTTGGCAGCCACGGTGCTGCACTGGCGGCAGCTTGAGGTGTGACGCATGCGAGGCTCTGGTTGGTAGGATTACCTTCAGCAGGAGGTGGTACTTGAGAACCCTCTGCATGGGCACCACCAGCAGATCTTGCAGCTTGAATTTCCCTTCCTGAACCTTCATAGTGCATTCCTACAAGACCAGAAAGCCGTTCTGGGTCATTCCTTCACTTTCACAATGCATTTGAACGACAGGTCCTTTGTAGCGCTCCTTCACAGTGAATCCTTGCATTACTGAAAGGTCATCTGTACCACTCCTTCACAGTGCATTCCTACATGAGTAACAGATTCTTTATACCACTCTTTCACAGTACATTCCGACATGAACAATAGATCCTTTTACCACTCCTTCACAATGCATTCCTATATGGCTAAAAAATACTCCTTCACAGTATACTCCCATGTGACTCACAGGTCATTTTTACCGATCCTTCACAGTACATTCCTATATGAATGACAGGTCATTTGCACCATTCCTTCACAGTGTATTTCCAAGCGACTGAAAGGTCATTTTTACAGGTCCTTCACGGAACATCCTCGGTCTATTCAAATTATTACCTCACCTTCAGTGCACGTGGACACCAACCATTAATCCCTTAACTCCAGTCCTTGTTCACGAAACAATAGCAAGTCTCCTAATGCTCTAGAAAGAACAGTAATCATATTAACAGCCTCTGTGCTCTGAGCAGCAATTTGATTATCTTTAGCCACGATAATCAGCATTGATGTCTTTGTCCTGAAGGAATAATTCTGATTTTAATCCAGTTTAATCCAGTTTAAAATTAAACGCTTCTGTTGTGTGGATAGCCATGTCTGCTTTCCACATCTCCCAATAAACAGATAATCATCTTAATTTGTTAACGGATCTGGGTGTAGTGAGCTCTAGCAAATGGCTTGTAATCTTCTCTAAACCGTGACAAGTGTCACAGCCTCCAATCAGCTGAGCTGAGCTGAGTGTGATGAGGGGGACGGACCGGTTTATCGAGAGCACAGTTCACCTGATCTACTGTATCACCAAGAAAAAGCACGCAACATCCCACCCCCTCGAAAGCTCCTGGGGTACTTGGGTAATGTGCCAACAATGTCAGTTCTGATCTGAATCAGCGAGCCAATCCAGTTTACCCTGCCAGATGGGGCTCCCCCTTAGAGGAAGATGAGTAGGCAGCCCCAGAGCTACCGTGCGCCACTTACCCGCTGCTGTGGGAGAACAGCATCCGAGCGCACGGTCAGAGGCTAATGCTGCTGAGCAGGTAACTGTATATATTTATTCATTTTAATTTACCTCCACTTTCACCCTGACATCCTCCCGCGTGGCGATGAGCTCATCGAGAGTCTTCTGTGCGTTCTCCATGTGGCTGCAGTACTGGCCGTAGATTAGGAGCCTGGTTGGGGGAGGGGGGGAACAAATATTTATTGACGGTCATGTCCCAGGATATACGTTGGTGACACAGGAATGCAGACAGACACATCCCGACCCTCAAAATTGAGTCAGGGGGACACATGTCTTTTTAGGGGCGATGGTCACTAAGCCAGACAGCCGTACTGAGATCCAGGTGACCACTTGGCGAATGGTTTCATTTAAAAAACTGAAACTTAAACCCCAAGGAGCTATGACAACAGACCCAACTCATCAAGTGCATAAATATTTTATTAAAGAGGATGGAATGGCCTCTGTCGGCTCTGAATCCATGTGTAATCCTCGTTATTGAGAGTGAGGATGTTTATTGCGTCTCCCACTCCCGGGGAAAGTTCCGCGTCTGCTAGCCAAACTACTTCATGAATAAATAAGGAGGGCAAATTTGTATATGAACTAATGTGTGAAAAATCGTGACAAGCGTGTGCCAAATTGCAATTTTAATGTTTCTTTTATCGTTATGCTTCTCCTCTGCCCCGGGGGGGCGGTGGGGTGAATTGAATTGAAACTTTATTTACCATATGCACAGGAGCAGAAGAATAAGTATATTAGAATTCTTGCACCACCATATTTATCAAGATGTAAAAACTGGCAACAACAAAAGACAACAGGAAGACTATTCTGGTTTTAGGCTGACATTTAGGTGGGAGTGAAGGATACTTCTCTAAATGCTGAAAGTCCTTAGCCTGCTTCAGTCTGACTGCTGCTGGAAAGAAGCTGTTGTAAAAACATGTCCTGTGAATGATGGTGTGGACACTTCCGGAATTCCGTAGGATCATCAGAGGCAAAACCGACATGGATCATGACATGGATGAGATAGTGACTGGGGAACCCAGAACACCCCTCGAAAACTGCAGGCCAGATGCAGGTGGTCCGGGGAGGGGGGGTACGGAGGCATGAGCCGGCCCTGACAGGCATGAAGGTGCAGGTGGCACAGCCTGAACGAACGCCGTCCGTCACGTTAACAGGCTAACGGCGAGCAAATATGGCCGCACTGCCCATACTTCCCTCTGCCTCGTTTTTAAAAGACTGCATTATGCTCTTAAGAAGAGGGAGTTGATGAAGATTAACGAGAGGTCGTTTTAATCATGTGTAACTTCACTCAGCCTCGCGGGCCACTGGCTAACGGCTTTGGGGTTACAGATAATGTCAGGGATCAGCGATATTAACACACGCGTAAGACGTAATTGAACATGAAGGTCTTTATATCAAGGAAAATGGCAGAATCGCAGCTGGGCCAGCTTTTAAGCGAGAGCCGTTAGCATGCACAGCGGGAAAAGGAATACATTGGCACAAAGCACACAGTAGGACATTAATTTAAAAATGGGTATAATTCAACATATCAGAAGTAAAATGTTAGAGTTACGTTAACGGGATGAATGAGCGATACAGCTTTAACTCTCCAGCGTGACCTGAAATGTACCCCAGGAAGGCATTTCCTTCAGATTGCACCTACTCAGAACCGAATTCGCCTCGTGCCGATTCGCACCTCCTCTATTCTGCTGAGAAGAACATTTCTGACAGAGGTGACCCGGGGGTTTGCATGAACAGCTCATGTGAACATTGAGTGGAATTCACATTTTCACAGCGGGTTCAGGGGGGACGAAGACGCATGAGACCACAAAAAAGAAAAAGAAACAACAAGTTGAGCTAAAACAGGACTTAACTGCCAGGACGCACAAAAACATGCTTTATTTGCAAAACAAAACAATCGGCTTATAGAGCCACCTCTTATTCACATGAATGTAAATAATAAAACAGTTTATCTTGTTTTTTACTCAACAGCCTCTGATTAGAAGGTTGGCTGTTCAAATTCTGCGCTGAAAGAGTGATTTTATCGTTGGGCCTTTGAGCAAGGTCTTTAACCCCAATTACTCTATTTACCTTGGCTGACCGCACTCTCTGATGTTTACTTGTGTGTCACATTTAGACAAAAGCAACTGCTAAATAAATAAATGTATAAAAAAAAATAACCTTCAATGCTCTCCCACTTTTCCTATTTTCAGATTGGAACTCAAGTCAATGGTCTAATCAGTCGAGCTGGAAGCTAACGCTAATGCTAATGAAAATGGCTGCCTGGTACTCGAGGGGCCAGTAGCACATTACCTTTGACAGCTGGGGGATCTGACCTGCTGCTGCCCTAAGGGCGCAATGCAGAGTCTGCCTGATACAGTGATCAGTTTGGTCCCTGTTCTTGCCAGGGTCGTATACAGGGGGCGGGGCAACAGGGGGCGGGGCAACAGGGGGCGGGGCCACAGGGGGCGGGGCCACAGGGGCGCTGCACTCAGCTGAAAGCCGAATGACCCTAGTGCCCCAACGCATATCACTGGCTAATTTCTGTATTAATTATAGCCCCTTTATGCCCCACCCCCTTAAATCCTAGAATTGCCTCTAATTCCCACAATGGAAAGGTGCTTTCATTAAATGTGGTACGTAGTTGTAAACTATATGGAGATGAAAAGCAGTGTGTGCTGGGAAAGCTCCCAAGGCACATTCCCTTAGTTACATAAACCAGAAAGGAGGAGGTTGAGGAGTCAGAAACTGTAGGATGCACTATATCCCAGCACTGGCAGTGGGGGCCTGAGAGCAGACAGGGGGGGGGGACACGCCGGCTAGGTTGTTGTTTTTAACAAGTGCGGAAGCATTAAACTGCTAATGTTTCCCCCCCCCCCGGTGAAAAATTGCTTCCTATATCTCCACCGCCCCCCTAGCCCATTTCACCATGTTCTCCAAACAAAACAGATGATTACACGTAAGCTGCGCCAAGTCTGTAATTACACAGCGAGTAGCTGACAGACAAGCAGCTTTCTGTGGCTCCGGGCTGGGGGTGGCATTTAAAATGCATCTCTACGACATTACTGAAATCTCTGGAATGCAGCAGCAGAGGAAGGTTCTCCTGAAGTTTTTTTAAGCATCTTTGCACAGTGTTTTTCTCCTCAGCATCTTTTGAAGGATCCTTGCAGAATATAGTTCTCTGTGATGTCTTTTAAAGCAGTGCCTCTCAACCTTTTTTTGAACCGCAACCCAATTTTTTCCATGCCAGCTGAGTCGCGACCCTGTATAAAGTATAGGTTTAAATTAACGCTATGATCAAGTGTGCAGTGCACTCTGCAGTTTATGCCGATCAATGCTTATCGCACAAATCTGATTGGATGTGACAGTGAATTTTAAATTAAGTGTCTGTGGTTTGGCTTCCTGGATTGGTTGAGTGTTCACTACTTTTGCGCTTAGCAGTAGCAGACCCAAGCCCATTTATACAGGTTAATTCTAGGATTGGGGCTGGGAAATCTGATCGTGGATCAGCATAGGACAGGGGTGGCCAATCTTATCCGCAAAGGGCCAATGTGTGTGCGGGTTTTCGCTGCAGCTCCCTAATTAGATTACTAATTAGAGGACAGATTGGCTGAAGAGTCCTCACACCTGGGTTTGAACAGCTGACCTAAAGGTTACACCAAAAACCTGCACATACACCGGCCCTTTGCGGAAAAGATTGGCCACGGCTGGTGTAGGAGCTTGCCGGTTTTAAGATGCTTACATTTACAACTCATAACCCTTTCAGAACGTGCTGCGACCCAAAATTGGGTCGCGACCGGTGGGTTCAGAATCACTGTTTTAATCCTTACTCACAGAACAACAGTTCTAAATGAAAGCTACTTCGGACAAGTGGAACATGAGTTGATGCAAGATTTATCAATGGTGAAAGTCACACTGAACAATGAAGATTCTTAGCTCTGGCTCCAGCACATTGTAGCAAGAGGAGAGAAATAAAAACCTGATCTGTAGATTAAATCACGCAGCTGATTTAAAAAATCCACGGGTCCACTTCAGCACTAGCTGCACCGCTCAGAATGATGAACGACACAAACAGATGCGGGATGGTTCCACCTCCATCAACCGGCGTCCTGGCGATGGCAGGCTCGCTGAGGCGAGCGTTTAATCCGCTCTCTGACACAGCTGTGCTTCAGAGAGATGACCTCGAACAATGAAATCCCGCTAAACACATAAACAGCAATCTGAAAACCATGACCGTCGAGGGCACGCTTTAAAGGTTCCGCGTCTATGGTGAGAGATCCCTCCACGGCGCAAGCTGGTGTGTCGCGTCACTAGGCGACGGGGCGTAGGGCAATCCACTGTGGTGTCTCGTCGCCTGCGGGGGGGCGCCGCTATAAAGACATGCCACACTCTGACAAACAGATCTGCGCACATCGGGGGTGAGGGGGGTTCAATTTTTTTCCCTACGGTTCCTCGAGTCGCATGTGCGACTCACTTCCTGGGGCGGTGGCGGGAAGAGGTGTGAAAAACAGGCGCCAGATTCGCTAAGTGAGAGACCGCCCCCTCGGGCGTCGGGGGTACTGGCACCAGGACGCAAATAAGATTTTTTTAAATTCAGTTGTCTTTCACTGTGAATAACAGAGCCATTCCTAAAGCTGCACAAAAAAACTCCATAATCTTAAACGCCGGCAAAACACCCACCTGCCCCTAGCACATGCCCTCAATGACAGGAAAATCCTCCGACAAAACCCGAGATGAAAAGCCCTGAAGTGGTAATCTGGGCTTGACACACCATCAAGTGCCTTTCACCCCAAACACCCAGCACCGTGGAAATAGAGATCAAACAGTTCACAGCACGGCTAGTGGTTTTATATTGACTCAAGGGGCTTTGGGTGGCCAGATGCAAATGGACAATCCCGCCTGGAGAGGCTACTCATCCACATGGGATCCAAAGATCTCACATCATTTTACGTCAGTTTTGCTTTTTTTTTTTTAAACGCGCCGCCATGTGCGATCGAGTGCTGACATTTCTTTCACTGCCCCGGCTCGCGCTTCTCCCCCGAAAGCTTTTTATTAATTTTTTTTTCTTCTCCCTAAAACCTGTTAGTGTAAAGGTCAGGGGGACCTTTTGGTGACGATAACAAATGTAATTAAACTTCAGGAGTGCACACGAGGCCTGGGACTCTCCGCAGACGGCTGCAAATCTGATCCCTGCTAAAAGCTTGCTTTTGTCTCCTCGTTCCTCCATCGGCGCGCAGACGAGAGCAAGACAATGGTCAAATTAAATTAAAGAGGATCCGATAATCACACGAGTCAGACGACGACTGGAAGAGGACAGCGGAGCTGGCATAAAAATAGCCAACAGAATGATTAGAAAAGCTTAGCCCATATAATAAAAATATAAAAAAAACAAATGCGAGACAGCAAATCTTAAATAGGAATAATGAAAGGGGAAGTCCAACCAAAAAATGATATTAAACTCACTGTGATCATCACCAGATGGTTTCCATGGTTTCGAAACGGAAACTATATTAAATGCAGCACAACCAATGAACTGTGCCTTGGTTTCGCAAAGAAATTGACTCTTCGATATCAAAGGACATTTCCATTCCCGTTACAAAGGGCCACACCCCCCCCCCCACCTCTCACATTTAATATCCTTAATATTCCATGTTTTAAAGACTGAAGAGAGGTTGAGAAATTTCCAAAATCCAGCTGCCACAATAGCGCCACTAGTACAAGCACAGATAATTATACATTTTACATGTATAATTATGGAAGAGCCACTCCCCAGTCTGCAACAATCTGTGAAGGATGTCAGGACGTTGTAGGTCCAACACAGATTGTCTGGGCTGGGACCGAATTTCCAGACACCCTGAACTTGTTGGAGACCAGCTTCATGTTCTGAAGCACTTCATATAAACGATTAACTAGTTTCAAATGGATTCCGCAGATCATCCATCTAATCCTGCATAACCCTTTGGTTAAATGGATCCTCGTGTTTCCCACTCCCAGAGGAAGAAGGCTCACCCAAATCATCTCCGACTGGCTTAAATCAAAGCCATGCCACTGGAACGACACTTAGAGCCTTGATGATTCATACGCTGTAGAATGTGACTCGTTAGCGCAGTTAATTCAAAAGGGTTGGAATGGGCTGAAATACTGACAAGGATACCCCAACACTCTCGCTTATAAAGCCCATTGAATTTTGGGCCTTGCCTGATTTGACCCAGCTATGATCCACCTAGTGATTTCTCAACCCAGTTCTTAGGGACACCTAGACAGTCGACATTTTTGCTCCTTCCCAGCTCCCAACACACCTGCACCAGGTATATGGTTCATTCTTGGTTGCCTAGTTCAGATGCATTGGGAGCTGGAAGGGAGCAAATCTGTATGGAAGCTTCTCAGCACTATGGGGTTGTGCCACGAGTCCCTGGATGACACAGACAGGCAAGGGAGGCTTCCTGAATGCACTCCCACACACAGTGCCAGGAGGTGGGTAGGGGTACCTTTTTGGCAGAGTTGGGTAATTCAGGTCCATAGAGTATAAGTCCAGACCAGGATTTTGTTTCAACCAACCAGTTGAGTACTCTGTGACTGTGACTCTTTATGCTCAACTGGTTGGTTGAAACAAAATTGCGGTCTGGATTTTTACTCTCCAGACCTGAATTACCCATCTCTGGTTATTGGTCCCCAGGGGGGCAGAGATTATTTATGTACACAAGGAATTACCTTTAGACGTGGCCGGGGATGAACCTGCCACAACGTGTGCGGCTGGTATTGGAGTGTGTTGCACAACTGGCCCACCCACCATTAAAGAGGAGGAGAGACGGCAGAATGAAGTGAGTGTGAGGGAAGAAGAGAACAAAACACATGGGCCTAATGTTTGGCTCCCAGCCTTACCGAGCGAGTGTGAGCCACCCGTGAGAGAATTAAGCAGAGCAGATTTCCAGAAGACTCCATGAAGACCTCAGGGAGATCTGATGGTCCTCAGGAGGAGCGGTAACAGAGAGCAAGTCAGCCAGCACAAACTGAAGCTGGCCCCTCCACCCCTCCAATAAAACGAAATATTATGAGAAAAGTTTTTTTAACTTTTTAAAAAAAAATTAAATTTTCTATGTAATACATATGAAACATGTAACATAAAAAACAGCTTTAAAAACGTAACTCAGAAATTATCAAAAAAATGTATACACTTTGGGGAAAAAAGGTAAATCGATTTTTAATTGGACTGTAATATTACTGGAATTTTGTGTTAATAGCATGTATTATAATTGAAAAAGGTATCAGTGGAACAATAGATAGAACCGCAATAAAAGGAAGATAAGAGATTTTCTTGTAAGAAGTGCTTAGTCTGTGAAAAAGCGTGCGATTGGATGCCATGGACAGGACAACTGGGCTCATCTCTCCTTGATCAGTAAGCTTTTAATCTTTCAGGGTGTTCTTGCTTCTTCTGACATAACTGGAGATGACAGGTGCTGTGTTTCCGCCTAGTCTACACAGCCAAGGTGCCTCACACTCATGAGTCACACTGTTTGTTCTGCCATGGCCACCGTCCATTTCAATGAAAAGGGAAACGTTGTAATTATAACGAGCTTTTCGGTGTAACTGTTGGCTCACCAGTCACATAATTACAATGCATTTATTTAGTATACACTTTTATTCAAAGTGATGTACAACTAAAGGCTGGGTCAGACGATGCCATGAGTAACCGGGGGTTAAGAACCTTGTACCGGGACCCAATGGTGAAATCACTATGGAGACTCTAGGATTTGAACCTGTGATCTTAAAGGTATGAAGCTCCTCTTCGGATCAAAGCTGCTGTGTTCGCCGTCTTCCCGCCAGGAAGCTCCAGGGCCCAGAACATTCCACGTGCTGCCGTGTAAGGTGTCAGTGCAGTAAGGTGTCAGTGCAGTAAGGTGTCAGTGCAGTAAGGTGTCAGTGCAGTAAAGTGTCAGTGCAGTAAGGTGTCAGTGCAGTAAGGTGTCAGTGCAGTAAGGTGTCAGTGCAGTAAAGTGTCAGTGCAGTAAGGTGTCAGTGCAGTTGCCCGTGGAGATGATTCTGACCCGGGATAGCAGTGAGCCTCTTGCACACACGCGCTACTGTTCACATAACCCCCCCGAGGACTGTGTCTTTGCTTATTTGCATGAGCACAGGGCCTGGGGTCTTGGCACAAGTGCCATGTGGTTGACAGACACTTGAATTGCACACTCCCTCCACTTCACTCACAGCTGCATGCTGTACAGAAGCTCTGGGGAGGAGCTGCTGCTTGAAGAGCCCGACGAGGGAGTCAGACAGCCCCGCTCAGGGCACGAGGATCTGCCCTGCAGGTGTGCCTGAGCCGTCCCATGATTCCTACAGCTTCCTGCCTGAGCATATAGACAGACACAATGCTTTCTCTTCCTGAGCTGCCAGGCCCTGGCACTGCACACCCTCCTCGACAGACACCGTGTGGGGAACCGGCATGACACTGCAATTTCACACCGGCTGCCCTGATATAATCCGCAAAGCCTCAGACATTAATGTTAGATTTATATGGTGTGTGATGGGGCACAGCGCCACGGAACAGCATGCATGATGAGAATGCTACTGCGGTGTTCGCCTTCTGCTGTCCTCACTGCATTACTGATGGGGGGGCGGTATATAGATCCTGCTTCTCAGACTTCATGACCGATGGTGGAGCGTTCGCTCAAACACTCACCTCTCCTTGAAGTCCAAGAAGATCTGACCCAAGCCATTTCCTCCTGCCAGAATGTTCGTTTCGATGGTCCTCAGTAAGGAGAAATGTACTTTGATCACATCCTAGGGGACAGAACTCATCCAATAAACATCACCATCCGTAACCGCACAAGAAATAAACAAAAAACACAGCACCGAAGTCAACGAACAAAGACTTATGATAATACTCACCTCCAGGTTAACAAAAATGGCTTCCATATCTTGTGGACTTAAGACTTGCTTCAGTGGAATCATATAATTCTGCAATGATAATGAGGGAACACTAAAATGACAAGTGAGGCTCCCCCAGAGAGGAAAGCATGCAGACGCAGTGTGAGGTTGAAGTGGTGGACACGCTCAAAAACGTCAAACTCCAGCCCGGCCAAACGCAAATACCTTTTTAATTAGTACCATGCTTGGACCTGAAGCACCAGGTGTGGTGACTTCCTGTCAAAATAATTACTCCGCTAAAGCAATTAAGGGCCAATTCTGTGCAAAAAAAACCCCAACATGACATGTGGCCTGTCAGGACTCAAGTCTGACAAGCCTGCTTTTGACGCCTTTATTCCAAGAGGTTACGACATGTTGTTATGGCAACCGTAATCCTACTCTGACTTATAATTATAGATCACCCTGCAAGTTTAAGGTTTTCCTAAAGCAAAATCTCTTGCCATAATTTACAGTTACTATAAATTCAATGTTAAATATCAATAATAAATCCTCTGAATTCTCCGCATTTGAGTCCTCTTCACCACATTTCCAAGCCTCAAACCTCTTAAACTCCAAGACTAACTGCAATGGGCATTTAAATCTGGCGAATTCTCTGTCATATTTAGGCCATCCCGGTCCAAACAAACCACTTTCTGGGCCCGGATGCTGAACGAATGTCGAATACCTCACAAGCATTATTTTTTTCAGTGGATCAAAATAGTCCATGATCATCCTCCAGAATCACGTGACATAAATGTCTCCGGGACTTGCCCACCCTGAACCACGCAGAGCTGCTTCCCACACCCTCATGCTGTCACTGAGCTCTCGTCAAGGCAGGTGGTAGATTCATTACCTTCTCAATATCTTCCAGTGTCTTGTAATACTTTGCTTCCGTTTCGCGAATTTCCACCAAACAGCAGTTTCGTTTGTCCTCTTCTGACATGCCCATCTTCTGTTCCGTTTCGTTAAAAAAAAAAAAAAAAGACAAAAACAAACGAAAAAATTAACCATCTTCGGAGAGCTCGATTCCTAAATCTGACAGAACATCAGGGGTCACTTTGGTGAATCATTTATGGGAGGTCAACAAATGAGGTCATAATGGCTTTCAGAAGAGCACTGGACTATAGACAACACTACAAAAACCTTAAGCACTGGCACATAAGTGGCCAACTGTAGTAAAGACAGTGTGTCTCATGTTTTAAGTTATACAATCATCTGTACTCAAGGGCATCTATCTCTGAAAGGCAACAGCATTTAGGGCATGCTTATACTAAGAATTTAAGAAAATTTCAGAGATCAAATAATGTCATTTAACAATTCATTAAGAGGATGTATAACACAGGGAAATAAATTAAAAACATCAGCCTATGTTATGCCAAGACCAACTCATTGTTATCAATGCCAATAAAAACAAACATCACGGTATGTCCTAAAACAAAAAAAACAGCACGTATTTCGTAAGTATCAGTGACTCCTGAAAAATCGAGTGATTGTTTCATAACATTGAGACTTTATTTGAATAAATTAAAATAAATGAGAACAAACTGCCGTTACAGAGATCAAAGAGCACTGGAAAGTCTTTAAAATCAGTTTCTTAAGGCACTGGGCCCATCTGGAAAAGTTTGAAAGCAGCGTTTAAAAAAAAAAGCAAAAAAAAAAACAAGTTTGTTTATAATTGAATAAAGCTATTAAATGATAACCGCAATCTGTCGCTAATTTCAAAGCGTTACACTAGACAAACTTCGGGGGAAAAAGTGACACTCTGTTGCACGAGCGTGGGAGTTCCTGAAGTGTCTGATCATCCTGTCACCACCCCAGAACAGTTACCGTGTCCTAGCAACACATTGAGAGCAGAGCCCTGTGTGTGTGTCTATGTGCAAGAACGTGATTAGCCGTCTTTGGGAAAAAAATGTTGAAAGAGCCCACAAGACAAATGCAGTTTTTCTTGCTTTTTATAAAAATGAAATGCGCTAAACCTTTGTCTTTGTTATCAGTTTTCATCTTGTGTTTTGGTGTTGGATTGTCAGCTAAGGAAAATGTCACCAAAGATATATTTATGTGCAAATGAAGAGGAAGAAAGGATTGAAGAATGTGTCCAGCAAAAATCAGGAGGCTAATTAAGCACTCTCACACTCTCTCTCACACACACTCAAACACACACACACTCAAACACACACACACACACACGGACTGTCCATTAATTTCTATGGGCAAAGCCCTAATCCCAACAATGACATGCTTAACCCCTACCCAGCCCGAACCATAAACATAAGTAGCCAAACAAAATACAAGACGTTTGGAAATTTTTGTTTTTGATATGCATTCACAGATTTTTATAAAATTGAGTCTTAAGTTTTTATCACACTTTGGTCCCCACAATGTAATGTATATCTCACACACACACACACACACACACACACACACAGAGTTGTGTAATCATATCTTTTTGGGGACCGCTCATTCATTTCTAAGGGAAAAATATTAATGCTAACTATGACCTTAACCCTTAAGCTTTTGCATTTTTAGTGTTTTCATTGCAGTCATGGACTTTTTTAAAATAGAGTTTTCCCATAAGGTAAAAAAAAAACGGGTATTCATCACATTGTGGGGACATTTGGTCCCTACAAGATGAGGTATACCTGGACCCCCACCCACACACACACTCACACACACACACAGCCATTTCTCCACACGGTTTGCTCTTTTGCTCTTAGCAGCTTTGTCGACTTCGGTGATCTCCGAGGGGAGGCATAGTGAACATCGAAAAGTTACGCTTGACGGCATCACGGATCACAACTGCTCCTCCTGGTAAATGCTACGCTTCCTTCCGCTCTTGTTACTTCACCGCTGCCACGAAAAGTGTTTTTCCTTTAATCAACTAGTTCTGCTGAATCATGGGACAGGACACTGGCCACGCCCACTGCGCTTGCGACGAATACAACACGATGTGACGGCTTACCTGCATGTACCTTATCTGCAGCATAAAGGAACAGAGAGAGAGGTAAGTCGGGTGAAAGGAGTGAAACCCCCCCCCCCAGTGTGGCTTTAATAGCACCCTTAGGATGCACACACATTCAGTGTTGGCCGTCTAGGGTCTAATATGTGTATCTTTTCATCAAGGTGCCTTTGGGGAAGCGAATACAGAACAGGGCTGCATTTCCAAGGAAAGGTCATGCTAAATATCAGAGGTGTACTATATCTTTGGGGGGGGGGGGGGTTAGACTGCAGTTAGAGATGTCGTCACCAAACCCCCAAACCGCAACACAGGCGAGCTTCCTCACCATGGGCTGCCGCACTTCCACCTTGATGATGTCCTCGTAGATATCGTCCCCATCTTCATCACACGGCACGCAGTCGTAGATGTCATCCTCCCCGACGTCGTGCTCGCTGGAAAATCCATCAAAGGGAATTAAATGGCCAAAATATGTGTGAAATATAAAAACAAAAAAAATACAATAACTGCGTGGGACAGTGGCTAAGCGATCAGCACTGCTGTCTCATCCAGGACCATCGGAGGGACAAGGATACCTTGGTGGGGGGGGGGGCAAGTTAACATTCTGTCAGGAGGCCCAGATTCTAGGTACATCCCGGTTCACATCCGAAGGGCTGGGGGTTCAAATCCCTCCTCTACCAAGTGTGACCACTTGTGTTTTCCTCCGCAGTTCAAAGACATTCCGGTTGGCTAACTGGCATCTTTAAAATAATTTGTAACATGTGGGACTGGGTATATGTACCCTGTGATGTCCAGGTTGTACCCCCGTGTCGTGCCCTATATTGCCTCGGATAGGCTACAGACCCCCCCCCCCCCCCCACCCTGTCCAGCATAAACAGTCGGATGGATGGGTAGACTAAGTCTGGTTCTTTGCATGCAAATACCGCAACACTGAAACCCAATGCTTTACGCTAATGCAAAATTAACCAGTTTCCTGGATTATTCCAATTGCGAAACGCAACTGCTGATACCAAAGAACAATGAGTACATGTGTGACAAAATCCATTCAGCACTAACGAAGAAAAGGAACGAAGGGGAAAAAAACGGCGAACCGCCAAAACCAGGCAGGAAAAAGACACACGAGAAATAAATCTTTTTTCTTCATTAAAATTCACAGTTGTTTTTTCCCTTACTCTTTCTTTTGTTAAGCCTTTGATGCATATTACCTTTTATACCCAAGGGACAAATTACCCTCAGCAAAGCTTTTTGATAAAGTAGTCTTTTCTTCTCCCCAAAATCATTCTGTTTTTTCCTTCCATCTCGACTCGATTCAGGGTTAGGAGAGAGGGCCAGGTTATAAGTTGGCTTGTTTGCAGCAAACCCATTGGAATAGCCTGGCAATAGAACATTCTAATTTGTCCAATGTTCGATACCTAATTACTTCACATTAACAATGTGCTTTAGCTGAACATTGTGGATCTGACACTAGACCTGTTCAACCGATCAGTGTTCCTCAACCCAGTCCTTGCGGACCTCCAGATGGTCCAAGTTTTGCTCCCTCCCAGTTCCCAAAACACCTGTACCAGGATTTATGCGTTCTTGATTGTTTAGTGCGTTCTTGATTGTTTTGTTCAGGAACTGGGAGCTAGGAGGGAGCAAAAAGATTGGGTCGAGAATCACTGCCCAAGAGTGATGCTTTCATAAAGAGCCATTTCACTGTCCCAAGAAACCTTCCCTTCTCTCCATTTCCACAGAAAAACACATTTCATTTAAACGGCAGGGGAAGAGTAGAGGGAGCAGCCGGCTGTCATTTAGACGGCCACCCGGCCTCGACAGACATTCAGACCAGAGAAAACTGCATTCCGTTATGACAGCTTGCGTTACACAGTCCCTGGAAAGTTCCCTCCTGGGACCCTGCGAAACATAACTAGTTTCGCTCACCCAGAACATCCAAGTGACTGTGTGGCTTTATTTCCAGACTCAAAACTGTCATCTGTCTTAATGGACTGGAGAGGACAGTGACAGACTGAAAAATGAACTAGAAAACAGCTCCAAGAGTGACCAGGCGGCGTTACACCACCTAAGGACTGTTAGAAGTTTTAATTGAGCTTTTCATGGTCCGGTCCACAAAATAAATACCATCTCCAAGGCACCCTGCTGATATTCAGTCCATAATGCATGCAGCCTTGGCCAGTTGGCTTGAAATGATCATTGGCAGCCCTAAAACTAATTTTATTTATTTGCTTGTTTGTTTATTTGCTTTTAATTTGCACTGTTTTCTGGTGAAAGTCTGGCCCACAGATGCTCGTGATCGAGCCAGAGGAAGAAAGTGTTCCTGGGAGATCCAAACAGAGGGATTACAAATGCAGCGTCTGCCGGACCGTACAGCACAGGGGAGGGTCAGCTGCCGTCCCGAGCCAGAGTTGGCTGCCGGGGTGAGTGAGTTACAAAGCCACGCCCCCCACACCGGGGAGCCACGCCCCCCAAACTGAGGAGCCACGTCCCCCACACCGGGGAGCCACGCCCCCCACACTGAGGAGCCACGCCCCCCATACCGGGGAGCCACGCCCCCCACACTGAGGAGCCACGCCCCCCATACCGGGGAGCCACGCCCCCCACACTGAGGACCTACGCCCCCCACACCGGGGAGCCACGCCCCCCATACCGGGGAGCCCACAGCCCTCAAAGGCAGCCAGGGTTCACTCTAAGAAAATGTGCACAAACTTCTCAAATGCCGTTTTTGTGTGTTACCGTCTGCTGCATGGCCGACTCCCTATATCAGCTGCCTGGGGGGGGGAATCAGGCTGCAGGCTTGCAGCTTACAGCTTGCGGATCTGCTGCAACCATGGCGATGGAAACATAAACACAGAGGCGTCGGTCAATTAAACGGTCCTGGGGCGTTCACATGCCTCAGGGTGCGAGAAACGTGCAGAGACTGAGGATAGTTATCAGCTCTTTGAAAATGAAAGGGCATAAAAGGGCATAAAGGGGCAAAGAGAGGCAAAAAGGGGCAAGGTCATGCCTCATAGGGCAATAACATCTCAGAGAAGAGGCACTGCTTGGGAATACAGCTTAGAGCCAATCACATCTCACCGTGGGGTCATATGACCAGCTGTTGGTGCAGCTAAAATCAGCTGAAAAAGGCTTTGCTTTGCTGCACTGCACTACAGGCACAGACACGCCACAGCATTTGGCGGAAATTGGCTCCCTGCAGGACAAGGGGGGGGGCTGCAGGTGCTCAAGACAGTTATTCATAGCGCCATAGACTAAACCAACTGCCAACATCCCATAATCACAAAAAAAAAAAGCTCCCTGCTGCAGCTCCATTTAACACAACAAAAACGGACCTGTTAGCCAGCGATAATAAGAAGGCGCAGTAACAGAAACGGGAATGACTAACACGTCCGTAGTGTCGCCCTCACACAGTCTGCATGTGGCCAGTCCAGATCCTCGTCTTCCAGCCTCTGGACTCCTGAAGACACACGACCGGCCACGAGTCGCATTCTTGGAATTACCGTCTGCGAGGGGAAAGCAGAGCACGGACGCCTCATCACCAGGAGGCCGAGTAGCCGATGCTGCCCATAGCTACAACCGGCCGCTGCATTTCACGTTAGCGCATTATCACACGGCGCACGTGTAAGTGCCTTCACAACAGAACTACAGAAACAGAAGCCAAAAACACCATAGTTTTCTATTGCTGGAAAGCCATAGAGCTGAGTTATTAGCAAACCACAAAGCCTGTCGTCGCTGGTGCACCCGGAGCGGGATGCGATCCAACCGCAGGAGCTGCCAACCAAACCAGCACGAAGCGGCTCGCCGACCGCCACCAAGCGCATGGGGCTGTAAATAAAACACCTGCCCAGTTACCTCTGACCCCGGGGGTCTGAGCACAGCTGGACGGAGGAAAGCGGGGAGAGAAAGTGCTTAGAGAGAGGCCGGACGGCTTTAGATCGGCCTCTGGCGGCCCTGCCCAGGCGCTCCATTCAAGCTCCGCCAACTGCTGGATGGAGGGAGCAAATGGCAGCCATGGAACATTTCCCATAATGCATCTGTGGGGAGCACCTTCATGGGGAAAGCCTTTCCAAATCCACTCTTTATATGTCCGCTGTCCAGGTGGTGTTAAATACCTGCAGAACATTTTCACATTTGCAGAACTGTGGCCTGATATATTTACAGTATTTGTCCATACAGAGCGGATCCACATTTAGTTACATTTAAACGGAAGTTAGATCCGCCCATGAGAACAGACAGCTACAAGCAGGACGGCGATTTAGCCACCCAACACTAACACTGCATAGAGACACATAGCTAAGACCTCGATACGCATGGAACAAAGCTGTCATCTATCTAAAGTGCATTTGAAAGGATTTTTATTATAAATTTAGCCCTTGACATGATAATCAGCAACACATCTTTCTGTGCGTCTAAATGCAGAACGCCCAGCTTGTGTGACACAAAAAACAACAAATTTCCATTTTATATGGTTCAGCAAATAAAAAGTTAGATTTATGAACAGCTGGAGGTCATACAGCAGTTCCTATAGATTTTGTGTCAGGCTGCGGACAGTGAAACACAATTAAAACAGAAGCATAATCAATATTTCTGAACAAATTTTTCAATAGGTCGCATCCACTAACATTCTAGAGCTTGCCATTCCGAAATTCAGAGGGACACCAAACTGATATAGCAGGATATTTTGGTTAAGAGTTCATCCAGACCCTGAAACAGCCTTCTTCAGGGTTAGGGCCAGCTAGGCTCTCTATCATCAGCCAAATGTGAGACAGCTGCCTTCTGTTTGCTGTTAGCAATACAGCTCATATCAGTGCAGTGGAAGTCAAATAAGCCCCTACACACCATAAGTGAGTAGAGAATGTCACGTCATACTTAAAATTGGAAAAATTTAAGTACTTTGTAAGTGGTTCAATCCAGAAATTTTGGAGTCTGGAGGTCATTTCTGCTCTACTGTAACACACACACCCACACACGCACACACACCCACACACACACACACTCACACACCCACACACACACCCACACACACGCACTGTAATTGGTGGTGACCCCCCCCTCCCCCCTGTGCTTTTTTCTGTTAATGGTTCTATAATATTGTATTATCTGCTGAAAAAGCTTCATAAAAAGATTTGTTAATAAAAGCTCATTTATAGTATTATATTTTTCCTTTTTTTTTTTTTTGCATGTTGAATGTATAAAATTCTCTTAGTGCAGCTTCCTGTACATTATGGACAAAACTGGGGCTACATTGGCAAGGAAACTCCTTCACCCAAAAATAACAACATAATAACCGAAAAGACAACAGGTATTCTGTGGCTTTACCACCATCAGGGAACACAAATATGTAAAGAGACAAACTGATCAAAAACGATCATGCTTTTTTCCCTCAGAGCATATGGTCGGAAACATTGTGACTCTACTTCTCAGCCTAACGTCATTAATACGGTATACGAATCTGTGGTCATTATGTGGCCATGCATAGTTAAGCATGTACCATTCCTACTTTTTAATTTGATCATCTTAGACCAAGAACTTCAATCAATGGATGCAAGAAATTTTATCTAAAAAGTGTGAAACAAAAAAAAAATAAATAAAAAATATCTTTTTCTTGTGTATAACTGCAGACTTTTTTATTGGACATTAAGGGGGTGGGGAGCTGGTACAGAGAGCATTCATCATCTGTCAGAGCAGTGTAGCGGCAGATTAACTTACAGAAGTTTGCAGATCTGGCTGATTCTTAGTTCTGCTCTCACATCAGCATCCCAAACACCAGTGATTCTGCTCGTTTCCGGGCCACAGACGCCACACAAACATAATTTATTCATGAGGTGGCGGCACACATGCTTTCCCATCCATCTGGACGGCTCTTTCACTCTCGGTGATAAATGACACCTATCTGCACGGAACGCCTAATTATTTTGCATGAATCAGATGCGACGGAGCACGGCGTGGCCCCCCCCCCTCTTCGCCGACCGCCGGTCTCCGTAGAAACGGAGCGCGCGCTTGCGTGTCTGTGCGTGAGCCGGCCTGCGGGGGCCCTGGGTGACGGATCGAGCACTCACTCCGCCAGCTCCTCCAGGCTTCGGTACACATCGTCCTCGTTCAGCGTGGTGTCCTCTGATGGAAAGGACCTTTGGCGGAACACAGAACACAGGAATCAGGGTCCTAGAACCCACAACCATTCGTAAACCTCAAGACTCAATCTGACAGCTGACAACGGTAAAAGAGTCTGGCTACACTGTATGCAATGTGACAAATAATGTTGCAGAACTAATAATTATTCATTCGCCCATCTTCTTACCAAAGTGCACCCGCACATAGGAGGTAGGATTCAAACCCACAAACTGGAGATGTGGGGAGATCAGTAATACGTAATGGCTCAGCAAAGTCATACACAAACACACTCTGTATTTATGTGTTGTTATTTTTTTTTAAGGTAGCTAATGATCTCCGGGCCCAGCATTCAAAAAATGGCTATTTGATTTTATGTTTTTTAGACAACTGACTAAGCTGTCAAAAGAGTAAAAGGTGGGAATAAGCCCATAAAAATTCTGGAGAGGCTATTATCCGCAGGATTCAAGCCCAGAATCCGTCATCTTAACAAGTCTGTTCTCAGTTCATTCTGCTTCATTTGTCATTGAGTTCTTTCAGAGAAGAGGGTAACCAGCAGCTTGGAATTGAAGTTCAATTGATTTGATTAAGCAATAACCAGAGAAACGATCCATAACTGCTCAGGGGCATGTTTTCTGTCTTATTGAGAATATAAACAAATCATTTACCATTCATCAACAATGGGCCCCCAACAGGCTGCAGGGGGCATCCATAATGCTGTTATATTTTACACTGTGTGGACTCCCACCACGACGAACAGGAACATACACATGCGCACTCGCGCGCACACACACACACACACACACACACACACACACACACAAGCTCAAAGTTCAATGACAATTAAAGCTTTTACCAGAATTGTACCACATATTTTTACATAAACATATCAAAAGTGTGTTACAGGACAATTACAGGAGTTACATCATCCAACAATTTCAGTGATAACCACAGTAATTAAATCGATATTATTCTACAGAGATGCTCACGAGAGAAATCCCCCACAACATAATGAACTCCCACCCAACCTCCACCCCCCAGTAGAACTGGTAGGGATATAGTCTACCATATTCATCTTGAATCAGTATACAACTAAAAGCAATATGTTCACAGCATAATTGGGGAAAGAAGTTAATTTACACTGAAATGCATTACATGAATTAATCACACATAACATGCTGAAAATCAGTCACGTGTTGAGAAACCGTGTTAGAAAAAGCACGTATGTTGCATGCTTGAGTGGCTGTGCAGCCGTACTGAGGTTGCCCCGATGATGATACACACATATCTGTTGATAAACTTGTGAAGTCTAACAGAGCAAGCATAAAGACCAGCACCACCAGGTTCACAAATACTGAGATGCCAGAGGAAAAAAAATCACCATTAATGCACATCGCTTGATGACCACAGAAGGCATGAACCCCGGCAGCCAATGAGACATCAGCAGAAGGAGGGGCCATCGACGTGATGAAGAACCTAAAACCTGAAGTGTGCTGTGTGTCACAGAGCAAACAACAACAGGTGCTGCAGCAGTGGAGCGATCACACCTGATGCGAGAGCAAAGTCTCCAGACAGTGATCTCTGTTCAGGGGGGCGTGTGACCATTCGAAGCGGGGTAAAGAATGCCACCCACCAGCGCTGTGATCACATCGACTTCTGATTAATCCCGTAAAATCCTTACCACTCTACCTGCTGAAGGAGGAGAATATTTACATTGAGACTGCCGTCTTGGGAAAAATAAAAGAGATGCGCTACATGAATTCAGAGAGTTGTAGATGAACTGGAAAAATGGGAGCTGGCAAGGAATGTGAGCTTGTAGTGCCTCAGTTATAGATCAGCAGCTTACAGACGGGACCACTGCCCTCCCACATGTGGCCAGACATCAAGCAAATACTCCTCAGCATACTGTGCTCTACCGGACCCTCTGCTTGACCTCATCTCCAAGTGCCCCCACTCCAGTGCGTTTCTGCAGAAAGGCCTGATCTTGTTGACTTGGCTTTCGGGGGTGGGGGCAGCGGCAGACTACAGACATGATCTTCTGCAGCAATTAAAGTGTGGGGGACAAGCTGAGGCTTTGGCGCGTGGGGGCGAGAGAAAAAAACAACACAGCCACCCAGACATGCAGAGATTATTGGAAGCTGAGTTTCCAGGCAATGTGTGTTTGCTCGATAAATCCTGAGTAAGACTTCTGAAGTAAAACACCAGATTGGACTTGATGGAGGACATTTAAACAGAATGGGGGGGGGGGAGAGAGAATTCAGGAAGGATGAGAATGCACTGCGCTTTTGTAGAAAAAGAAAGGAAAGTGAACGCGTGCCCGCTGAGCTGATAGTGGGCTCTTCACCCAGTGCATCACAAACATGGCGTGACGAGTCTTCAATCCCACAAAACCTGCTGTCTCAATGCCACCCAGCCACCTGCATGTATGTATATTAAAGCCCCATCCAGGGGAGATGTTTGCCTGATGTTTCGTTCATGATTCATTCTCCTGAACTAGAGCTCCCTAATTGGCCTGACACATGCCTTTGTGTTAGCCATAGATTAGCATACCAAGCCCACAGATGCCAGAACAATAATGATAAGACCCCACCCCGTGCCCTGATATTCTCTGCTTGATGTTCTCCAGGTAATTATAAAGAAGAATCACCCCCTTGCGTCTCTGCCCCCTCCCCTTTTCATGCAACAGGCAATTGAGGTAGTGGGAATGTCCTTTGGTGTATGAGATTCACCATGATTGTGTACACGCACATACATGTAGGCGGGCGGATAGGGTGGCGGCAGCCGGCCGCAGGTCCTATGCCAGGCGATTTCGGACCCGGGTGCCAAGGTGACCCAAAGCGCAAGAACCCGCCTCAGATGTACAGGCAGATAAATCCATGCACTGCATAGCGTATGATCGGAGAATCTGGCAAGTGGCATAATTAATATTTAAGCAGATACCAAGATCAAGTCTCACAAGTAGAGGAAACAGGTGACAGAAAACATGATAGACCTGCAAATTAGTCACGGAAGACGTAAGGCTCCAGAACCGAGAATTACAAAGTGCATCACCTTCTAGTTTAGCCCAGTCATTCCTGCTGGGTCTCAGAACTTGTAAAGTAATCATCACCTTTCAACAGGGACCTAAAGACCCGATCTGTGGACCACTGCTGTATACTTGTACCTTTGATGCTAACTGCTTACGGAAGGCATGTAAAATAGGTGTGGGGGGGTGGATGTGACCAATAAGGCATGCAGCAGACCCAACGTCCCAAAAGCATCACACTGTTGTACTTTGTAATGCAAATGTGCTTAACTGGCTTCAGCTATTTACCCAGCTGAGTGGATAACTTGAGAAATAAGAAAAAACACTGAAAAATAATTAACCACTCGGGTTTAAAGTCTCCGCTAAATGATTATATAAGAGGTGCATTGTAGTTGAGACTCCACATTATAGACTGTTGCCTGAAAAGCACTCAGCACGCCCGATGCCCGATGTCCTTCCCCCGGCGATAGCTGATCACAGGCACTTCCAGTAATGAGAGCAACAAGGACAGTGAACCTTGGGAGGGGGGCGAGTGTCTGTGTTTTACTGTGGTGGCTGGACATAGGCCATCAGCTCGAGCTGGAAGAACCTTATTGGTGTTCGCTGCACCCAGATGACTGCCCTGTCCGGCCAGGCCGGGGTGTGCGTGTGCTGGTCAACGGTTCAGTCAGATTTTTTAGCTCAGTCTTGTGGTCCTGGCTAAGCATCGAGTGAGTCACGTGGCCATTAATCTCCATAATCTCCAACGCTACATCACAAAGCAGGAAAACCCCACGTCTATCTGAACGGCTGCATCCACGCGGCCGTAAACACTGGAGGACGTGACTCTCAGTGGGGGTGGCCCAGCTCATCCGAAAGCAGAGATCAGATCAGCCCCAGAATTAAAATCTCCTCATCAATAACAATCCCCCCCCCCCCCCCCCCCCCCCCCCCCCCCCCCCCCCCCCCCCCCCCCCCCTCCACCCCACCTCCACATCCATGGCCTCAGAGCCAAACTACCACTCTGCCAGGGTGTGGGAAAGACTTAATGCATCCGATTTAAAGCCCCCCAGTGAAATCCATCAGCAGAGTTTCCTCCAGAAAAGATGATGCGGCCTCGTCCACATCTAACACCCCAGCGGCTGGGGTTTAAAAAAACAAAGCAGGCATAGGTTTGAGCTAAGCTAATGAGCTGGTTACTGTGGTTACAGGGGGAGCAAAGGATACTGGAGCAACTCTATATATCTACATACTTGTACAAGAGGGTTAGAGGTTTGTCGGGCCTGCATTAAAGAGCTGGAATGTCTCGGGGTTCTAGAGCACGTACAATCTGTTGCTAAGCAATGGCCTTTCATTAGTGTTCTGCAACTCCTGCTAGGTATTTGGTTTGGGGGATGTGGTACAGCCCTATTTTATTCAAATAAAATTAACAACATTTTTAGCAACGCAGCTTCCAGTAACGAAGCAATTATGGGAATACAAGGCAGGAAATGCTTCCAGTGGTTTGCGGCAAGGAGGCAGAGGTCCCTTGGTTACCAATGCCCGGCGATGGCGTGAAAGCCTTGCAGACAAGGGCGGCAGGATAGCATGCTTTTACGTCATCACTAACGGCAGTGGGATGCCTCACAAGGGGAGCGGGGCACGTGTGCATGTGTCCGCTTGTGATTTTGCACACTCGGGTAAAGGCTCTGTGAGCGGTGGTGCGCTAACGTCTGACGTGCCACTCAAACCGCGTCGCGACACGGGGGGGGGCGCCAGCCGGATGCCCGGGGGAGGGGAAGCAGCAGATCGGGGGAAGGTGGGGGCCGGGTGATGTGTGATTCTCACCTCGTCTGCAGGCCTCTCTCACTGCGAGTCGAAAGGGAACAGCTTCCAAGCTGATGCCAAACCACAGAGACAGAAGACCCACCCTGGAGGAACCCAGCCCAGAAAGAATGACTCCCCCGGCTGAGTCACCGCTTTGAAGGTGTCGGACAGCCTGGGACATCAACGACCCTTAAATCTTTTAATGCCCGTGATGCATTGGGGGAAGAGATTAAACGTTGCGATGACAGCGGAGAGAGGAGATTAAATGGCGTGATCATAGCATGTCTGTAATCGATGACACACGGCATTGGGCACTGGAGGGGTAACACATCTGCACGAGCGATCATTGTTTCCAGAGTACTTCATTATCTCTAGCTAACAGCCACACCCCTCCAGTACATTATAAATTTCTATGTGTACATTTTCAGATCTTCAGCCTTACTCATGTGAATCTGAACTTTGTCTTAACTAAACAGATTGAAATGCTGCTGACCCCAGTACAACATAGCAGCAAACAGGCAGCGATTTTTTCTTGCACCTTTCGAGGTGCCACTGAGGAAAATTATTGGAAGCGGTGACCTGGACAACGTACTTGTTCCCAGTCAGTCTGTTGAGCTAATTGGGAGCATGACTGAACAAACTAAGAGAGATACATCACCCCCCCACCCATGTCAGAGGGGCATGTAATCCACTGGGAAGACATTCCTGTGTAAGTGTGTGTTTGTGTGTGTGTGTTTGTTGGGGGGGGCATACCTGATCCCTTTATTCTGCGCGATGCTGTGATGTGAGATCCTAGACAGCGCAGAAATAACCTGGAAGAGAAGAGAGAGGCTTTCGTTAGAGCAGCAAGGGATAAGAAGTGCGTGACCTTTATACAGAAAAGCGTTTTAGGCTTCAGCGGAGGACATACAGGAATTACAGATGGAAAAATGACCTCGCTGAGAATAGAAGGGAGTGAGCAGACAGCCAGGCAGCCGGATAGGTGCAAACACCGATGGCTGCCAAGTTAATGAGGATGTTTACAGGCAGCTGGCTTTAAACTGCCCCCTGCGTCGTCACTGACCGTCCCCTATTGTCACGGATCTGCCCACTCAGGTTACGCCGCAATTACAAGGTTAAATGCACATGGTATTTAGACTGATTCAATTCCATTCCGAGTCATATGTGAGGGGACTCTCAAGAGGCTTGTGGGACTTGGTGGGGGGAGGGGGGCAGGAGCGTGATGGGAGCAGAGGGGAGGCGAGGCAGCGGAGTACGGCCCATTTCACTTCCCATCGTGCTTATGGGCGCCCGGCTCATTGTGAGCCGCCTACGGCAGCATGTTACCACCGTGGATAAAAATCCCCTTTTCCGAGTCAAGCGGAATAAATAGACCCCAGTCCCCCCCCCCCCCACCTGGACTCTCTGGAATGGACACCCACCATCCTCAATGTGCAGACAGCGCTAAACGAGATCTCAGCCACTTTAACGGTGTCCCGTTAATTGGAATGACTAATCGGGAGCGTGCTTATATGGACAACCGGTACAAGTACCAGAACAGTCCTTGGTGCAGAATTACTTACCACAGGCGATTAATCTCGACATTTATATTCTGACCTCAATTCATCAATGGCACAATTACACAAAATTTTTATTCTAATTTGTCTTGTACATCTTGCATGTACGATGTGACCGTAACTCTGCAACGCTTGTTCTGAGCAGGTCGGCGTACACAAGAGTATGACAATGAAAGGGGGACTTCATGTGGGGGGAGTGGCAGAAAAAGGAGGGGAATTTCCCCATTATGTTATTATGTTGTTATTATATTATGAAAATCACAAGAACAGGGAACAGGAGTAAGTTTAAGTAATGGGATACGACCGGGGGCATGGTTCAAATGTAACCAATCATCAGTGATTTAACAGAGGAGAAACGCCTTGCCTCACAGACCTATGAACAACACCTCAGGTGGCTTATGGGATCTTTTATCTGATTGGCTCACGTAGCCTTATACCCAGGCACCGGCGCACTGGTCAGCCTCCTCGATCAACAGACAGAGACGGTTCGCCATGTGTGTGCCAGTCAGATTCCCGTCACAACAGCAGGGGTCTGACCAGCCCCACAACCTCCCACCCCACCTGCTCCCATGCTCGTGACCATCCGTTTATGAATATTAATGGGTCAGGCTGTCGACAGAGTGCATCCACGCAAGGGCTGGGAAACCCCTCTCCCAAAAGGACCATCAGGCTGGCTGCTGCGTGCGATTCCCGCCACCCCGCCTTTTCCTCCATTAGCCACGTGAATTGTGCTCCTCAGGGGAGCCCCTGGTCCTTGGCACAACGCAGATGGATAGAGGAGCGCGGGGCTCCTTCACAGACAGCCTGCCAGTACGCAGAGGGAGAGAGGAGCGCGGGTCTCCTTCACAGACTGCCTGCCAGTACGCAGAGGGAGAGAGGAGCGCGGGTCTCCTTCACAGACTGCCTGCCAGTACGCGGAGGGAGAGAGGAGCGCGGGGCTCCTTCACAGACTGCCTGCCAGTACGCGGAGGGAGAGAGGAGCGCGGGGCTCCTTCACAGACTGCCTGCCAGTACGCGGAGGGAGAGAGGAGCG